TGTGTGTCTGTGTGTGTGTGTGTGTGTGTGTGTCTGTGTGTGTGTGTGTGTGTGTGTGTGTGTGTGTACCTGTGTGTGTTTGTGTGTGTGTGTGTCTGTGTGTGTGTGTGTGTGTGTGTGTGTGTGTGTGGTGTGTGTGTGTGTGTGTGTGTGTGTGTGTGTACCTGTGTGTGTGTGTGTGTAGGCACTGAGATGATGGACAGTCAGCTGATGGGAGAGTTCGAGTGTGACGGTAAAGATCTGGAGGCGGACTCTTGGAGCGGCTCGGTGGATAAGAAGTTCCTGAAGGCGCTGAAGAAAGACGAGATAAAGCGACAGGACGTGATCTATGGTATGTGTGAGCTCGTCTCCAGGTGAGAGTACCTGTGCTCTCACCTCTAACAGCTGTGTGTCTCCACAGAGCTGTATCAGACAGAGTTCCACCACGTCAGGACGCTCAGGATCATGGCCGAGGTTTATTCTAAAGGTCTTCAGAAGGAGCTGCAGCTGGACACGCCCACTCTGGACAAGGTGAGCGCCGTGTGACCAGTAGCTTCATGACATCACAAAAAAGATCTCACAGCACTGTCTCCATGTTTGTTTCTGCAGATGTTCCCCGTGTTGGAGGACCTGTTGGACGTTCACTCTGTGTTCCTCAGCCAGCTGCTGGAGAGGAAGAGAGCGTCTTCATGTGAGGGACAAAACAACAACAGCTTCCTCATCAGCAGCGTGGGCAGCGTCCTGCTGCAGCAGGTAGATACATCAAACAAACTTCAACTGTGCAATTAAAAATAGACTTGTACAAGAAATGTACAAAACCCATGCAGGGATAAAAATATATGTGACATTTAAACAAGAACCTAAAAATCTGTAATTAGAGCTGAATATAAAAAATAAAAAAGTGTTGTGTTGTTTATATATGTACAGCAATATTTACAAAGAAGATGGTGGACGAGGTGTCAGCTGATTCCCTCCTCTTCTGAATGTTTGTTTCCAGTTTTCAGGCTGCAGCGCTGATCGCATGAAGAAGGTCTACGGGAAGTTCTGCAGTCGCCATAATGAAGCTGTGAACCTTTACAAAGATCTGCACGCCAAAGACAAACGCTTCCAGGCCTTCATCAAGGTCAGAATCCTGCAACACCCCCTCTATATATCATATATCTATATATCTATATATCATATATCTATATATCATATACCATATATCTATATCTCATATCTATATATCATATATCTATATGTCTGTATATCATATATCTATATATCATAGAGCTATATATCATATATCTATATAACATATATCTATATATCATAGAGCTATATATCATATATCTATATAACATATCTATATATCATAGATCTATATATCGTATATCTATATATCATATATCTATATATCTATATATCATATATCTATATATCTTATACCATATATCTATATCTCATATCTATATATCATATATCTATATATCTATATAGCATATATCTATATATCTTATATCTATATATCTATATATCTTATACCATATATCTATATCTCATATCTATATATCATATATCTATATATCATAGATCTATATATCGTATATCTATATATCATATATCTATATATCATATATCTATATATCTATATATCTATATATCTTATACCATATATCTATATCTCATATCTATATATCATATATCTATATATCTGTATATCATATATCTATATATCTATATATCTTATATCTATATATCTATATATCTTATACCATATATCTATATCTCATATCTATATATCATATATCTATATATCTGTATATCATATATCTATATATCTATATACCATATATCTATATCTCATATCTATATATCATATATCTATATATCTATATAGCATATATCTATATATCTTATATCTATATATCATATATCTTATACCATATATCTATATCTCATATCTATATATCTATATATCTGTATATCATATATCTATATATCATATATCTATGTATCATATCTATATATCATATATCTATATATCTATGTATCATACATCTATATATCATATATCTATGTATCATATATCTATATATATCATATATCTATATATCTATGTATCATATATCTATATATCATATATCTATGTATCATATATCTATATATCTATATATCTGTATATCATATATCTATATATCATATATCTATGTATCATATATCTATGTATCATATATCTATATATCATATATCTATATATCTATGTATCATATATCTATATATCATATATCTATATATCATATATCTATATATCTATGTATCATACATCTATATATCTATATATCTATGTATCATACATCTATCATCATCCTCGTGCTTAAATCCTCAATACACTGTGTGTGTGTGTCTGTGTGTGTGTGTGTGTGATTGTGTGTGAATGTGTGTGTGTGTGTGTGTGTGTGTGTGTGTGTGTGTGGTTGTGTGTGTGTGTGTGTGCAGAGGATGATGAGCAGCAGCATTGTGCGCAGGCTCAGTATCCCAGAATGCATCCTGTTGGTCACTCAGAGGATCACCAAGTATCCTGTTCTAATCCAGAGGATCCTGCAGCACACCAAAGGTGAACACACACACAGACACACACACACACACACACACACACACACACAGACAGAAACACACACACACACACACACACTTAGTGTCATTAATTTTGTGTTATTAAAATGTTGCTTTCAGCTGAAACACAACATGTAGTGTTAGTCAGACGTGTTGACACAGAAACTGTTTCAACACGTCTGGATCAGAACCAGCAGCAGCTCGTCTGACACGTTATTCTAGGTCAGAACGCTGTGTTAGTGCTAGACCTGCCAATCACAGGTAGCCCCGCCCTAACTCCTCCCACAATCACCAGTGACCATATCTGGATTAGTATGGTCACTTCCTTACTATCAGTGGAGTCGCCCCCTAGTGGACGTTAGAGAGACACTTTTAGAGGCTACATTCCTGTGTGTGTGTGTGTGTGTGTGTGTGACTGTGTGTGTGTGTGTGTGTGTGTGTGTGTGTGTGTGTGTGTGTGTGTGTGTGTGTGTGTGTGTGTGTGTGTGTGTGACTGTGTGTGTGTGTGTGTGTGTGTGTGTGTGTGTGTGTGTGTGTGTGTGTGTGTGTGACTGTGTGTGTGTGTGTGTGTGTGTGTGTGTGTGTGTGTGTGTGTGTGACTGTGTGTGTGTGTGTGTGTGTGTGTGTGTGACTGTGTGTGTGTGTGGTGTGTGTGTGTGTGTGTGTGTGACTGTGTGTGTGTGTGTGTGTGTGTGTGTGACTGTGTGTGTGTGTGTGTGTGACTGTGTGTGTGTGTGTGTGTGTGTGTGTGTGTGACTGTGTGTGTGTGTGTGTGTGTGTGTGTGTGTGTGTGTGTGTGTGTGTGTGTGTGTGTGTGTGTGACTGTGTGTGTGTGTGTGTGTGTGTGTGTGTGTGTGTGTGTGTGTGTGTGTGTGTGTGTGTGACTGTGTGTTACAGAGTCAGAAGAGGACCACAGCAGTGTGTGTGAGGCTCTGCGCTGTGTGAAGGAGCTCATCACTTCTGTGGACAGTAAAGTCAACGAGCAGGAGAAGAAGCAGAGACTGAGGGAGGTGTACAGGTAAACACACACACACACACACACACACACACACACACACACACACACACACACACAGGCACACACTACACACTGTGTGTGTAAGTGACCTCACAGAGTCAAAATGAATGTACAAAGAGACTGAGGGCCTGATTTACTGAGCTCCTAATTAAAGAGTACTAAATTGTGTGTTCACTCCAAAAGTTTGCACGTTTGGTGAGTGTGTGATTTGCGGGTGATCGACTAAGAACATTTGCGTGAATGACACCAGGTGCAAACCTTGTGGAGGCGGAGCTATTTAAGTTAGGTTGTTCTACTGGTTTACATCACGGAGAGTTTGGACAGAAAGCAGGACGACTGCAAGCGCAAAACAGGTATTAGAGAGAGAGGCAAATAAACACACAATACTTTAGAGTTATAGGAGATAAATCTGAATATTACAAAGAACATGTGGTTATAAGAAAACCTGGGCATTAAACAGGGCCTCTCTTTTCTTCATCTTAAGAATGAAGTGTCATACATTGAGCAGGAGGTGTGAGCTGTGTCCTCTGTGGACCGGGCGCTCTACACTCCCTGTTGTTGTGCAGCAGACAGCTGGTCAGCGCTGTGTCTGATCGGACATGAATGATCTGGAAAGAGGTATCGAAGACGGGAGTACAAACAGTGGTGAGGTCCCCCCATCAGAGCGTCCTACAGAGTAGCAGCAGCTTTAGAGGGAGGAGACGAGCACATTATGGAGAGGAGCGCACCGCAGGGGGCGAGCTGGAGGAGAGACGCACGACCCGAGAAAAAGGAAATCCCAGTTTAACATATAATGTTGGTGAGAAGAGGGAAACAGGAAGAAATAAATGTCAATGTTGAAATTCTTTAGAATGCAGAGGCTGTGGATGTTCAGTTTTCTTTGGCAACAACAGCCTGTAGTTTAATCACGGTGTTTCTCTTCCTTAACGATTAGAATACTGAATCAAATTAAAAAATAAATGCATGACATTTATTTTTCTGTCATTACATTCCAAACATATTAACATGTGTGGAGAATAACGTGATCTGTATGCCTTCTTTGATTGAGCCTATGTCTCCTCCTAACTTCAATAACAGCAGCCTGTTGTGTGTAACACTGGTCTCCTGGGTTAGCACCTTCTTTTCAAAGGTGTTAAATTCAGACACCGTCACAATCACCTCAGTTTTTGTCAGGTTTGGTAAATCACAATGCGTGTACTAACTTAACTTGTTTACATTTTCTCCTTTCTAGGGCAGAAACGCCCCATATTGAATATTCATTAAGTCAAACGTACTAAATGGACAATGCGTGTTTTGTTCATATGAAAGATTCAATCCTCACTGCACTCCGTTAGTAGATCAGTTAACACATGCTTTGCTAGTGGTATCAAGTTTGCACACGTTTTAAGACACACAAACCTTTAGTAAATCAGGCCCTGAGTGATTAAAGCAGTCTGAACCCTGACGTGTGTGTGTGTGTGTGTGTGTGTGTGTTGTGTGCAGCCGCACTGACAGTAAGTCCATCATGAGGATGAAGAGCGGTCAGATGTTTGCTAAAGAGGATCTGATCAGAGGGAGGAGGCTGCTGCATGACGGAGCGCTGCAGCTCAAGAACTCAGCTGGACGTCTCAAAGGTTCCTCCTGTTCTCCATCACACACACACACACACACACACACACACACACACACACACACACACACACAGTTCAACATGTGTGTAAAAGGTGTTTTAATGTGTGTGTGTCCATGCTGCAGAGGTGCAGGCCATGCTGCTGTCTGACGTGCTCGTGTTCCTGCAGGAGAAGGACACCAAATATGTGTTCGCCTCTTTGGTCAGTGACATCATCTTTCTGTGTTTTATTTGTAAATATATATATATATATATATATATATATATATATATATATTTTAACAAATTTAAATTTTTTAAATTCTTCAAAATCTATGTGCAATCTTTCTTTCTAAAATGTAAAACGCTGATCAGATTGATTTCAGAGTTAATGATTTATGAGATGGAACAGACAGTTAACCAATCAGTATTATAACATTTTAGTTGATAACTCAACATATCTATCTTTCTTTAAAAACAGCCAGTGTTTGGGTAGTGACCAGTGTTTTCTTTGTAGTGTTTTATCATATTCCTTCAACCTTGTTGCTTAATATTAACTCATAACATGCCTGATGTTGGGAATATTACACACAAATGTGAAGTGGTCAATAAAATAATTTATTCTTGAAGGAAAATGTTCATCCATGACCATATAGTTCAAATATTACTTATCCTTTGCTGTAAATAGATGATTGAGATGATGATAGTTATAGAAACTCACTGAGACTTTGGAACACATTGATTTCAAAATGATGAGATTTAACTGCTAACCATTCCATTTTGTCACTACCGAACTTGACCATATGATTCAGTAGTGACAATTCTACCTAATTTAGAGCATAATTAAAGAATGCTAGCAAGCACATCTTTGAAGAGTACACACATAGAAACATAATCATTTACATACATACAGTGTGTTTGCACAGTTTAGACAGTTTGCAGGAGGTGCCATGATATGAAACAGCTGTTGATATGGTTAGTTTTTTATGAGTCATATTGAAGTTTAATATTCTGGTAATATGACACCCCTGTGATCCGTTGTCATGGTAACTGAGATGTGTTTCCTCCTGTGTGTGTTTAGGATCAGCGCTCCACAGTCATCTCTCTGCAGAACCTGATCGTCAGAGAGGTGGCCAACGAGGAGCGAGGTCAGTCCCTGCTGTACGCATGACTATAACATGCTCGTCTGTGATTGGTTGATATGAGTCCCTGACCAGGTGTTCGTCTCTGCAGGACTCTTTCTGATCACGGCGGGCATCGAGAGGCCGGAGATGGTGGAGGTGCTCGCCAGCAGCAAGGAGGAGAGAAACACGTGGAGAGCTATCATACAGGACGCCATGCACTGCATGTGAGCACACACACACACACACACACACACACACACACACACACACACACACACACACACACACACACACACACACACACACACACACACACACACACAGTTGTGTCCCATCAGTTAAAGGAGCAGTATGTAACTCTGACCCCTAGTGTTTAAAATGGGTACTGCAGTCTAAATTCTAAACATCATGGAGAGCTGTCTCCCCCCCCCCCCTCCTCTCACTCAGGTCACCATGTGGTGGACTCTGAAGCTTCAGTGTTTATCCAGCTCTGCATGGGTCTGTAAACCTTTCTGTGTTCTAACCTCTCTCCATTTTTCAAAAGCATCTCCAATATTGATCCTAGTTTGAGCACGTTTCTGCTCGTGGAGCTTATTAGAAACATGCAGAGGCTTTTTAGGTCGGGTACAATCACTTCTATCTGAACCACTTCTCTTGACCGCTTCCATCGCTGCAACACCTGTTGACCTGATAACTGCTCTCATATCTGACAAACCGAGGGGCGTCCAAAACGGCCGTGTGGGGGCGTGTCTTAAAAGCGCCTACCTTCTCTGGTCCAAACAAATCCAGAGCATTCAGGAGCAGAATCTAAAGTTAGAAGGAGGACATACTGGCTGCTGCATTGTTGTCAGAGAAGCCAGCACTTCAACATAGCATGTTTCCTTAATGATCAGAGGGTAAGATACCTTTATCATCTCACTCTCTACACAGCTCACTGATTGGACCTTTACAGATTGAATCAGTAAAATTCATAAGCAGGTCTTTTATAAAGTGACCAGATAATGAAAGCTCATATATATATATATATATATATATATATATATATATATATATATATATATATATATATTTCCTCATTGGTACACAGCAAGGACCCGAAGCGCCATCTGCTGGTCAGACCGACACACATGTTTTTATCAGAGAAACTTTTGAAAGTTGTTGGGAGTTTAAAATCTGTGCTTGTGTGGACAGAGAGAAAGACGAAGACGAGGGAGTCCCGAGTGAGACGGAGGAGGATCGGAAACAGCAGGAGAGCAGAGCCAAGGAGATCAGAGGTAAATACACACACACACACACACACACACACACACACACACACACACACGTTAACCAGGGTTAGATCTATGGAGCTATTATTGTGGCAAAACTATTTGAATATGCGTACACAAATGTGTGTCTGACCATCTGCAAACACATTCGTGGGGTTTGTTGCCCTGAGCTCAGGCTCATAGGCTGCCAGTCTGCAGTAGCACCCAGTGAGTTCATGACGGACATTACTGAGCTGGATGTTGTGGGTGCAGTTTTACTGAGGAGGCTACGATGGAGGGTCCATTATGTAGTTTGTGTTTTTGAAATGTGTTTCCTGTACAGTGCGGGCAAAGCGGTACGCAGCCTGGCAGCCTATGAGCCTGAGCTCAGGGCAACAAAGCCCACTAATGTGTTTGCAGATTGTCAGACACACATTTCTTTTTTTTTTTTTAACAATATGTTTACTGAGTTTTAAAAAAAATTCCAAATCCAAGACACACAATTACAATTAAATAAATTCTAAGGAAAAAAAAAAAAGATCTACACATGCACATATATACACAGTTATGAAATAAGGGGGGACAAATTAAAATATAATAATAATATAAAATAAGAAAATAAAAAACTTTAAGTACAAAATGCTGCAACATTCTTACTGTCCGTATTAATTAAAAATAACCAAATGGAGTAACATTTCCATAGATGATTTGTTAATCACAAATATTCTGCCCAAAAACAGTTTGTACAAAAACGACCACAATTTCAGACACTTTACCTCTTTACCAGCCGAGCTCAAAATATGTGACAGATCTTTATCCCGAAGAAAATTAATATATAGGCCTCAGATATTGTCAAATAATTCTAGTTTGTCTTTAAGTGTATATGTTATCTTTTCCATTTCATTAAACCACCATGTAATACTCTACCACTGTTTTTCCATGTTAATGCTATTCTTCTTTTAGCCTGCAATATGCAGAGGTCTACAAAGACTCGTTCTCTGCGTGTCATATTACGTCCTTTTGGGTAGATACCAAGAAGAAAAAACTAAAAAACTTGTGTTCTAAAAACTAATTGAAATGATAAAAACTCCTGCATTACACGTCTGACTTTTTGGACATTTCCATACGCAATGGTAAAATGTACCTTTGTCCTCCCCACACCTGTTACATACGTCTGGGATGTTGGGGTTAAATTTGTTCTATAAATTCTCATTAACCAATCGTATGGAAGCAGTTTTAAACGAGTGTTACCTGTTTGAGTCTGTGCTTTATTGCATGCCTTATCCCATTCTTCATTTGAGATTTTGTCGGACACACATTTGTGGATCTTGCACGGCAGGAGTGTTGTAAAAGTCACGTCATGTAAAATGACAGCCAATGGCGAGGCCCGCCTCATTTGTAAGCGACCATTTGTGTTTATTTTCAGGATTTACAGCTGAAAAGGTTCACTGCCATTAATAAATCAGTAAATATTTCAGAATTGGTCTTCATATTTGCAGATTAGTTTACGCATTTGTGGATCTGTGTACGCATATTCAAATAGTTTTGCCACAGTAACATCTGTGTATAGATCAAAGAGGCGTTCACGTCATGAAACGTGTGATTTGTTTCAGAGCTGCTGCGTCAGAAGGATGAGCAGATCGTCTCTCTGCTGGAGGAAAAGGTTCACATCTTCAGAGACCTGGGAGACTGTAGCCCCGCCCCCGATGACAGGACACCACCTGTCAGAGAGCGCATGTTATTCAGGGCCACTGCTGATGATGTCACAAAAGGGGAGCCAATCATAAAGGACGCTCTGAGGGAAGGTGAGCAGGTTGTGTGTTACAGAGATTATGTGTGTGTGTGTGTGTGTGTGTGTGTGTGTGTGTGTGTGTGTGTGTGTGTGTGTGTGTGTGTGTGTGTGTGTGTGTGTGTGTGTGTGTGTGTGTGTGTGTGTGTGTGTGTGTAATCTGTCTAATGTGTGTGCAGTGGAGACGCTGAGCGCTCTGGTCCAAAGTGGAGTAGGTGGAGCAGGGTGCAGTACCGCCGGCGGCCTGACAGGGGGCGGTGTTGGCCCTGTGTGTCTGCCCAGGAGAGCTGAGACGTTCGGAGGCTTCGACAGTCATCAGATGAACATCAGCAAGAGTGAGACACACACACACGTTAAAGATGACTCCTACACACACGCTCCACCTGACAGTAGGTGTGTTTCAGCCAATCAGACGCCTCCCTCACTCCTCATTGTGTCTGTGTCCTCAGATGGAGAAAAGGAGGAGGGGGATGAATCACTGGACCTCCGCAGGACTGAATCAGACAGCGTGCTGAAGAAGGTATGTGTGTGTGTGTGTGTGTGTGTGTGTGTGTGTGTGTGTGTGTGTGTGTGTGAGGTGCTGGTTTGATCTCTGAACTTCATCAACACTGCAGGATCTCAAAGTGTTCCTACAGACAGCTGAAGAGAGACAGGAAACGTTGGGAGAAGAGAGTAGGGGGATTTAAATTCTGTTATTGTTACAACCCTATTAAGAAGTGTGTGTGTGTGTGTCTGTGTGTGTCTGTGTGTGTGTGTGTGTGTGTGTGTGTGTGTGTGTGTGTGTGTGTGTGTGTGTGTGTGTGTGTGTGTGTTCCTCAGGGAGCCACAGCCAGCCTGCAGATGCTGCTGAAGAGAAACAATGAGGTGAGAGTGTGACCTGCTGGTTCTGTTGTTCTCCATGCTGAATGAAGCTTCATGTGATGATTCTGTTTCTCCAGCAGGTTCAGCACAGTGTGACATACCTGCACGACCTGCTGCTGTCCCTGCAGGTACCCCACACACACACACACACTCACACACTCACACGGTAACAATAGGGCTGTGTTAACACTCCTCCTCTTCTTCCTGCAGGCTGTGGTGGTCCAGCAGGACTCGTTCATTGAGGACCAGCGTCAGGCCCTGAGCGACCGGCTCACTGCCAACTCCTCCAGGCACTCCTCCTCCTCCTCACTGTCCTCCTCTTCCTCCTCCCGGCCCTCCTCCCTCATCGAGCAGGAGAAACACAGGAGTCTGGAGAGGCAGCGGCAGGAGGCGGCCAGCCTGCAGGTCCTCTCTCTCACCACATGATGCTTCAACGCTTCAGGTCTGCATCACACTGCTCCTCACTGTCTCTGTGCTTTGTTTCAGAAACAGCAGGCTGCTCACCAGGAGGAGAGGAGGAGGAGGGAGAAGGCGTGGGAGCTGAAGGAGAAGGGTCTGGCAGAGCGGGAGGAGAGGCTGAGGGTGGAGGAGGAGGACACCAGCAGGAGGCGTCAGGAGCTGGCGGAGGACAGAGAGACGCTGCAGAAGAAGAAGGAGGAGTACCAGAGGGAGCTGGAGAGGCTGAGGGAGGCACAGAGGAGGCTGGAGAGAGACAAGGAGGTGCTAAGGAGGGACACAGAGAGCCTGGAGGCCATGAGGAGAGAGGAGGTCAGACTCATATTGGGACTGAAACGTCTGCAGTTTCTGTTGATTAAAACAATAAAGTGCCAAATGTTGGGTGCAGGACTATTGTTGTTGCCATGGTAACATACAAGCATGGATATCACTTAATTTAAATAGAATCATCTCAAAGTTGAACCTTTTGACAGTTGAACCGGTGCTCCTGCATCACAACGTGTGACAGGAGTGGTTTAAAGATGACTCACTGACTCTCTTATGTCTCTGTGTTGTCACAGTCAGAGCAGCTCCAGAGGTACCAGCGGACCCCCTCCACCACCTCTGAGGACTCCATCAGGTTCCACAGCTCCGGATCTCTGGAACTGGACTCAAAAGAAGCTGAAGAAACCAAAGAGGTAAACAAGCGGACCAAATCTCCTGTAGAATGCTTACAGGCTGAGAGGAGAGTGCATAACTGTAAACACTCTGTTCTCCACCAGGTGGTGCTCTCTTCCTCGGCACCGACCAAAGAACCTTTCCTCCGCATCGGATCCAAGAGGATGGGTAAAAACTTTAACCCCTTTTCATCCTCCTCATCCTCGTCCTCCTCTAAAGCTCAGGGAGCAGAGAAGGAGTCCCAGCTACCCAGCAGACTACTGCAGCTGACCAAACCCAAAGAGAAGAAGGACAAGAAGAAGAAGAAGAGCAAAGACACAGGTGAGAGGAACACACACTCCTGCAGACGTTACAGTCTGTTTACTTGCTGCAGACGTTACAGTCTGTTTACCTGCAGACGTTACAGACTGTTTACCTGCTGCAGACATTACAGTCTGTTTACCTGCAGACGTTACAGACTGTTTACTTGCTGCAGACGTCACAGTCTGTTTACCTGCAGACGTTACAGACTGTTTACTTGCTGCAGACGTTACAGTCTGTTTACCTGCAGACGTTACAGTCTGTTTACCTGCTGCAGACGTTATAGTCTGTTTACCTACTGCAGACGTTACAGTCTGTTTACCTGCAGACGTTACAGTCTGTTTACCTGCAGACGTTACAGACTGTTTACCTGCTGCAGACGTTACAGTCTGTTTACCTGCTGCAGACGTTACAGTCTGTTTACCTGCTGCAGACGTTACAGTCTGTTTACCTGCAGACGTTACAGTCTGTTTACCTGCTGCAGACGTTACAGTCTGTTTACCCGCTGCAGACGTTACAGTCTGTTTACCTGCAGACGTTACAGTCTGTTTACCTGCAGACGTTACAGACTGTTTACCTGCTGCAGACGTTACAGTCTGTTTACCTGCTGCAGACGTTACAGTCTGTTTACCTGCTGCAGACGTTACAGTCTGTTTACCTGCAGACGTTACAGACTGTTTACCTGCTGCAGACGTTACAGTCTGTTTACCCGCTGCAGACGTTACAGCCTGTTTACCTGCTGCAGACGTTACAGTCTGTTTACCTGCTGCAGACGTTATAGTCTGTTTACCTGCTGCAGACGTTACAGTCTGTTTACCTGCAGACGTTACAGTCTGTTTACCTGCAGACATTACAGTCTGTTTACCTGCTGCAGACGTTACAGCCT